CCTCAGAGGCTTATCAAAGGAGACACACACCCCAGCGGGTTGAGAACCCCTCCATGAGCCATCACAGGTTGACAGGGACAGACAAGTGTGACAAACCCCCTCCTGAGAGCCTGTTTGGACTGCAGCAGGGAGAGGGTGAGGCGGGGGCCCTGGTGCTGGGGCATCCTCCACCCCTGCCCCTGGGTCTCCGCCCACCCCCCCCATCCCCCAGGAGGGCCAGAATACACCACCATTGGCACAAAGCACTGTGTCAGTTTAAGGTGACTGGATGTATTTATAAATTGCAAAATGGTTACCACCACAGTATTAGCTACCACCTCCACCCCATCCCATAGTTACTATTGCTTTTTTGTAGTGAGAACATTTCAGATCTACTCTCTTAGCAACTTTCAAATGTATGATACGGTTTTATTAGCTATGATCACCCACTGCAGTGGGGGTGACTGGGCAAGATGGGGGTACCAGGGCCTGGTCATTTGTGCCCAACTCAAGGGTTCTTCCATAGGCATCTTTGCTCCAGAGCTCCCTGTACGATTGGCGGAGACTCTCAGATCTGCACTCACCCCCTGTCCAATCCTCTTCCTCCCCTTTACCTTTCACACCTGTTACACACCCTGCAAACGAACCCGCTTGAGCCCCTGCTCCTAACTCTGCCACAGCACCTGCTTCCTTAGAGCACTCGAGCTGACACCGTCTTATTGCCAAAAACCCTGATTCACTCGGGATTAAGTACTGACCACTGAGTCCACTAGCTGCTTGATCATAGCCGTATTGTGACTCAGTTCCCTCACCCATAGAAAGATCACAGAAACACCCATCTCATAGGATTTTCGTACCTACTGCATACGAACCATCGATAGGGCTGAGCTAAATGCCTGGCACATAGTCAGCACTCGATAAATGTTAACTGAGGCTGCCAGAGACAGTTATAAATCTCAGTAAGTAAACGCTAGCTATATATGAATGACGTACAGTAAAATACCAAGTCCACGGCTATAAATCTAGGGTGAATCTTAAAAGACTGAAGAGTGAGAAAGGTGGGCAGATGAGTTGCAATTGTGGACAAGTACAGAGTAGAAAAAATAATGAAAGGTTACAAATGAAATGGTCGATACATTCTGAGTCATCATTTGTGACCAGGGGGAAAAAAAAGAAAGAAAAAGCCACCAGACTTCTCTATTATCCTTCGCCATTTCCTAAACACTTTCATGCATATTTTTCTCTGCGGGCTCTCCAAGAAAGCCACAACACAACAGGCATCCCACCCCCATTTACGGGTAAAGGAACCCGGCAGGCACAGAGAAGCTAAAGACTCACCCACAGCACACAGGTACATGCTGGAGGCAGGAACAGAGCCGTGTCTGTCACTCTCTCTGGGCAGAGAATGCCGGGCACCATGGACAAGTACCTCAACATCAAGCAAAAGGGCGTGCCTGCAGCAAAGTCAAGGTTGGTGGTCCCTGGACCATGACAAAAACTATCCTAAGGGCCACCACTCAAAACACACTATACTAATCTTAACTCAAATTTGGCCCAAATTATATTATTAAGGGAGATTAAGGTTGGATTGCTATGGAGAGTACAGTTATACATATACTATACTCACATCTCATAAAAGCCCAGTTCTGGGTTATAAACTCTGTCTGGTTTGACCCAAAAAGGAATTTCTTAGGAAGATACTGGGTGACTCAGATCTTCTCCAGGAGTTCTGGAGACCAAGAGCTCATCACAGTACTGGACTGGGGAAAGCCACAGTGGTTACTGTCACTTCCATGGGATCCTAGGGTCCGGAGCTGCCACCACCAACTCTGGGCGAGAAATTCTTCTGCTTAACCTGTCATCCTGCAACCTGGTCTTGCTGCAACCACTGTTGTTACCAGAGGAGACTTTCTCATGGTTCTTGCTTCTTGTGTCACTGGCTCCTCATTCAAAGTCCAGGATGGTTGCTTCTGATTGGTGGAGCCCAGGTCACGTGGCCATGTTCTCGCTGCAAGGGAAGCTGGGAAAGCAAGTGTCTGGCATTTCCAGTTTCATTGCAGAACCAGGGCTCTGTCTTCCACTAGGATTCATAAGTTGTGGAATTCTTCCAAATAGGAATCAGGTCCAGATGTTGGACAGCCCACAAACTAATGTCTATTATAGGACTTTGTAGATGTTGTTTCATGTAAATCTTACCACAATTCATTTTATACATGAAAAATGAAAGCTTATAGAAGTGAAGTGACTTGCCCAAGGTCATGCAACTAGTAAGGGCCAAGCTGCCCACCTCAGAGGAGCAATAAGTAAGGAATCTGGAAGTTGAGTCTTGGGATCAGACCCTGGTGGTGCCTCTGAATCCCCACCCATTTCCTTTCCTTGGCTGGCTGCAGCAGTGGATGGTTCCCTGGCTCTCACCTGCCTCCTGGGTCTCTGGTAAAGCCACCCTCTTGTGCTCCTCCTCCAGGCCCTCCTTCCTTCCCACTGTCTGTAACAGCTGAACATTAACGGCTGCTGTAGGCTGCTCCATTGACCATTGGGACCTACTTGGGTCCAAACCTCACCCCTGATTTTGATACACAAATAGAGGCTGAACTTGGGGGCACAGGGAGAGAGAGGCCACGGAGGCCCTTGAGCCAGGCTTCCTGCAGGTCCCACAGGGGACCTGGGCCCCATATGGCGGTGCTGCGACTCTATGACAAGTGGCCATCAGAGAGATTTCTGTGTTTCAAGCTCTCTGAACTTGAAGAATGGCACTCTGCTCAGGAAGCGCACATGCTTCTTTCAAATTTCTTTTAGGTTAATCCCAAATTCACTTTCTCCTCTCCATCTCCACTAAACCGACCACTGCCGCCTCTGGCCTGGACTGCACAGCTGCCTCCTGACTGGCCTCCCCATTTCACAGCTGCCAGCAGCTTCCCTTCACATTACAGACAACGGCCCAAGTCCTTACCCGAGGCCCCGAGGCCCCGAGGCCCCAGAGCTCCCCCTCTAGCCTTCCTCGCCTCCTCTTTGTTCCTCAGAAACATCCACCTGGCTCCCCCCAGGAGGCAGACACCTGCTGTCCCCTCACCCGCCACCTGCCCCAGCCGCCCACATGGCTGGCTTCTCACCACTCAGTCTCTGCCCAGATGCTGACTCCCCAGAAAGTCCTTCTTGTCCTGCATCCCAAAGCGGCCCCTCCCGCAGTCAGTCTCCAACCCCTCACCCTGCTTTACTGTCTCCTTAGCACTTCCGCCTTCTTAAATCATCTTGCGGGTTTGTTTGCTGGCCTGCTTGTTAACTGTCTCCCACAACTAGAATTTGTTTTCTAGATTAAATTCCATGACAACAGGCTTTGCTTTCTTTTACCGCAAAGTGTTCCCACCAACAGTATCTGACTCATCATCAGTGCTCAATCCAAAGGCTAGGGGAGGGTGTGGGCAGCTGAAACTTGGTGGGTGTGCTCTGCTGGGATGAAGTCCTGGGGGACCTACAGGCAGCACCTGGAAGGTGACTGACAGGAGACAGGGACTCACAAGGCTGGTTTGGAGGCAACTCCAAGAGTCTGTCCCTTCTCTCCCACTCACTTGGCCTTTCCTAAGGCAAGTCCATGGGGAGAACCAGGAGAAGGAAACAGGCCCAGGGGTTGAGGTCAGATGTGTTTAGCAGGCCTGGGTGTGGGGGGAAGTCAGCAGCCTTGACCTCAGTGGCCCTTCCCAAACCCTCTGGAGCCCCTTCCTTTCCTCGCTCCCATTCTCAGTGGGGCAGGACGGTAGCTCAAACATTGTGGGGCATCACTTGCCTCTGTATTTCCAAACAGGAGGAGAGAGCAGGACCTCTGGGACTCTCTCCGGAAACTCCCAGAAGAACTGTCCAGCACAATAACCGATAAGAATTTACTCTCAAGGGATAAGCCCCCAATAGACAGGAGCATTAAAAAAAGTGAAACAGCCCTAACCGGTTTGGCTCAGTGGATAGAGCGTCGGCCTGTGGACTCAAAGGTCCCAGGTTTGATTCCGGTCAAGGGCATGTACCTTGGTTGAGGGCACATCCCCGTGGGGGGGTGTGTAGGAGGCAGCTGATCGATGTGTCTCTCTCATCGATGTTTCTAACTCTCTATCCCTCTCCCTTCCTCTCTGTAAAAAATCAATAAAATATATATTTTTTTTAAAAAGTGAAACAGCCCTAGCCAGTTTGGCTCAGTGGATAGAGCATCGGCCTGCAAACCAAATGGTCCTGGGTTCAATTCCTGTCAAGGGCACATACCTTGGTTGCAGGCTCCTCCCCATCCTAGGTCCTGGTTGGGGCTCGTATAGGTGGCAACCAATCCATGTGTTTATCTCACGTCAATGTTTTTCTGTCTTTCCCTCTTTCTTCCACTCTCCCTAAAAATCAATGGGAAAATATCCTCTGGTGAGGATTAACAAGAACAAAACAAAACAAAAAACTGGTCAGGATCCAAATTAAAAAAAAAAAAGGGAAACACAGTCATGGTGACAGATTCATAATGCAATTATTGATTCAAACATTTTTCACCCCCTCTCCCTCCAAAAACTGTTGCTGTTGGCTGGGAAGTGACTCAGGGAGACAGCTACAGGGGACAGTGACTTGGCTGCAGCTGATGCTAAAAATGACCAGCACCAAGGCAAAGGCCGGAGATGGCATCCTCCCTCACCCTCATCTTCCTCCCTGGGCCTTATTTGTAACAAGGGGGACAGAACTTCTGGCCTGTCCGAGAAGTTGAGTGGATTAAATTGATAAAGGGCCTGACACCCATTCCTAATACTACTAAGAGCTATGATGTATTGAGTCCCCCAGGCCAGGCACCATGCTAACATGACCTCCTTCGATCACTGGTCCAAATTCCATCAAGGCAAGGACTAGATCTGTCTTGTTCCCACCATATCACTAGTCCCAAGTGTCCTCCTGCACAATGAGAACAATAACCAAAGCTCACAGGACCCTTAATTTGTACACTCACTTTACAGCCTATTTACCATTTCTAGCATGTTCATTTCTAATTTTCATGACAATTTTAAGGGGTAATTACTACCACTGTTCCCATTTTATAAATGAGAAAACTATGGTACAGAAGGCAGAGAGGAATTGGGTAACTTTCCCAAAGCCACCAAGTAAGTGACAGTGCAAGAGTCTGAACCCAGACAGTCTGGCTCTAGAGCCCTGTGCTAACTCAGGGGGTCAGGGGATGCTCACAAGTCCGGTGTCAGGCTGTTTTATTGGCAAAGCAGTTGAAGCTAAGAGAGCAGTTGAATGATTGGCTCAAAGCCACGGAGCTGTTGGGTGGCAGACCCAGGAATGGGTTCAGTGTGAACAAGCTAAATGCCTCTGAAAGGGTATGCTTCAGTCCCCGGGCTCCCAGCCCAAGCTCTGGGGCCAGCCTTTCCCTATAGGGCTCCCCCCAGAGTCCACAAATGTCTTAAGGCTGGGACTAGACTAAGGGCAGCTGTGGAGCAGTAACAATGACACTCCAAAGCTCAGAGACAGCCCTCAGGCCAGGAATTTATCAGGAGCCCATTCTGAGGACTGGCTGCTGGCTGTGGGCTGATGCTGGGCTCTCCTGCCACCTGTAGCCCCTGGCAAGAGTGCTCAGAGGGCCTGGGTTGTCCCCCACCCCCAACCTCCTAAGGCAGGATGGTGACTATCTTCCTGGGAGAGGAAACCGGCAGCTTCAGATAGTGTTTGGTCAAGAGATTTTTCATCTTCCTTTCCTGGCAAGAGCCGAGCTTCCATCACTCACACACTCGTTTTCCATCACTCACGTCCTTGCCCGTCGGCTGGCATCTGGCTCATCGTGGATGTCCCGTGATAAGTCAGGGACATGACAGATGCCATTAACATAACATTCCTATTCATCCTTCCAGGCCAGGCTGGCTTGGAGAGGAGGCTGAGAGAGGGATGGAGTCAAAAGGGAACAGCTTCTGACACCAGGCTCATTTGAGGCCGAGGCTGAGGCTGGTCTCTGCTGCTTTCCTGGCTGGGCAGCTTAGGACAAGTTACCTAACCTCTGTGAGAAACTAAGTTTCCACATTCATTAAACGGGGATAGAAATGGAGAAATTTTCATCTGGAATCAAAGCCATTGCTTTGCACACCTCCAGGGGGCACCCTTCACATTGTGGTTTATGTGAGTGCGTGCCACATGGAACTCTACTTCATAGACTACCAGGTGAAAGATGCCTCAAGATTGCACATCCCGAGTCTGCACCTGGCAGAGAAGAATAGCTATGCCATCTTTCAGATGTGGTGCTGACCAGGGTGCTAACAGGGTTCTTGTGAGGACCAGAGATGACGCCATGCCAAGGGGCTGGGGCCTTGTAGGTGCACCGGAGGCATGGCATTCCCAGATGCCTCCTGCCCTGAGAGATGCCCCTGCCCAATTCTGACTCACGTGTGGAGCAGGTGGGAGCGAGTAGACTCACAATAGCCTTGTGAGCAAGACCTCAGTTCCACGTCCTATAGGGTCTCCTCTTTCCTCTCAGTTTGCCCCCTTGGTAACCACAAAGAGTATGAGACTCCTTGGCAGAAGGCTGGGGGTAGGTAGGGGATTTCACTCTACTAGGGTTTGTAGCTGACTCATCAAGAAACCTTGAGTGAAATCTCTTCCCCAGCCTGGTTTTCCAGTCTCTGCTTAAAGCAACGGACCCTTTCTGTGTCTCCCCCCATAGGGTATCTTCATTTAAAGCCTGCTGTGTGGGTGCACGCTCCTTCCCAGGAGCATGTCCGTGCCTCCCCACTCCCCTTTCTCCCCCCACAGGCAGGCACTTCCTAAACTCTAAGGGGCCTCACAAGGCTTGCAACCAACGCAGCAATGGGCAGCGGCAGTTCATCCCAGGTAAACCCCTGAACCTGTGCCCAAGGCCTCCGTTTCTCAACTTCCTAGTGAGCCAAAGCAGCCCAGCCCAGGCTCATTTCCCTAGTCCTTCCTTGTTTCACTGTCCCCAGCTGTAATAAACATCCTCTAAAATTCAAAACAAAACGACAACACCTGCTTTATGCTTGACAGTGGAGAGGAGGGTGTCAAGGTAGCTAGTCTCCGGCCCCAAGGTCACAGAAGAGTAGGCTGAGGTGGTACAGTGCAGGGACTCGGGGGGGGGGGGGGGGGGGGGGGGGGGGGGGGGGGGGGGGGGGGGGGGGGGGGGGGGGGGGGGGGGGGGGGGGGGGG